TGTGTGTGTGTGTGTGAGTGAGTGTGAGTGTGTGTGTAAGAGTGTGTGAGTGTGAGTGAGTGTGTGTGTGTCTGTATCTGTGTCTGTGTGTGTGTGTGTGTGTGAGTGAGAGAGTGTGTGTGTCTGTGTCTGTGTGTGTGTGTGTGAGTGAGTGTGAGTGTGTGTGTAAGAGTGTGTGAGTGTGAGTGAGTGTGTGTGTGTCTGTATCTGTGTCTGTGTGTGTGTGTGTGTGTGTCTGTGTCTGTGTGTGTGTGTGTGAGTGAGAGAGTGTGTGTGTGTGTTGTGTGGCAGGACATTCAGAGCTTCTGCTCCTCCTGTGCTCTTCTGAGCCACTAGTGCTGCATGTTCACACACGTCTGGAACATCACAGCAGGATTTATGCAACAGCATACGTTTATATTCACCTGCTTTATGTGCTTGGTTCAGTCGGGCATGTAATAGATCCTTCTGGAACAAATCACAATCACAGTGACTCACTGAAGTGTGACTCGAACACAAATGTGTGTTTGATCAGAGATACAGTGAGTGTGTTCAGATGTCCAGTCAAACACCGTCTCTTTAAGAATGGCAGGAAACTCCCGCCACAGAATCACTACAACAGTTTGTTCTGCTGGTCGTCTGGAAATAATCAGATTAATGTTGCCATTCACTCTGGAATTTCCAGCCACTCACATGCTCTGAGAGCCGTGCTAATAGTCTCTCCATCATAGAGTCTGCTCTGAACATCTGAACTCATATACACCTTACACACGCTAATATTTACACGCCAACATAACGAATGTTCTGAATGTCTGAACTCATGTTCACTTAACACACGCTAATGCTAGTAATACTAATGTAAGACTCTGCTTGGCTTGTTGATGATAACTTGGGTGCTGGTTGGTTGACACGGCATTTCCTAGCTATTGTGAGTGGTTGCTAGGTTATCGTGAATGGTCGCCAAGGAGTTGCTAGGATGTTCTGAGTTGTTTCCAGGGTGTTGCTGGGGTTTTTTATGTGGTTGCTACTTGCTAGTATGTTTTATATGGTCACTAAGGTGTTCTGGGTAATTGACATAGCGTTGCTAGGTGTTATGGGTGGTTGCTAGGGTGCTTTGAGTCATTGCCAGGGAATTACTATTGAGTAATGGGTGGTTGCTTGGGTGTTTTCCTGGGCGTTGCTAAGGTACTATAGGTAGTTGCCAGTGAGTGGCTATTGCGTTCTAAGTGGCTTTTAAAGTGTTCTGGGTGGTTGCCAGGGTGTTGCTAGGGTATTATGAATGGTTACTATGGTGTTCTACATGGCTACTAAGGTTGTCTAGGTGGTTGCTAGTGTAGGGTATTATGGGTGTTCCTATAATATTCTGTGTTGTTGCCAAGGTGTTGCTGGGGTTTACAGGTGGTTGCCAGGGAATTGCTAGTGGGCTATAGGTGGTTACTAGGGTGTTTTAGGCGGTTGCTACTTGATAGTGTGTTGTATGTGGTCACTAAGGTGTTCTGAGTAATTGACAGAGCGTTGCTAGGGTGTTATGGGTGGTTGCTAGGGCGTTCTGGGGCATTGCCAGGGCATTGCGAGGGTACTGTAGGTAGTTGTTAGGGGTTATTGAAGTGTTCTGGGTGGTTAGCTGGGTGTTGCTAGGGTCTTATTAGGGTATTGTGGTTGATGCCAGGAAGTTCCTATGATGTTCTGGGTGGTTGCCAAGGTGTTGCTGGAGTTTACAGGTGGTTGCCAGGGAATTGTAGTGAGTTATAGTTGGTTACTAAAGTGTCCTGGGTGGTTGTCATGGCGTTGCTATGGTATTATAAGTGGTTGCTTGGATGTTCTGTGTTCTTTCCAGGGTGTTGGTGGGGTGTTTTAGGTGGTTGCTACTTGCTATGTTGTTTTATGTGGTTGCTACGGTGTTCTGGATAATTAACAGAGCATTGCTAGGGTGTTATGGGTGACTGCTAGGGTTTTCTGAGTCATTGCCAGGGTGTTGCTAGGGTGTTCTAAGTAGTTATTAAAGTGTTCTATGGGGTTGTCAGGTTGTTGCTAGGGTATTATGAGTGGTTGCTAGGGTGTTCTACATGCTTACTAAAGTGTTCTGGGTGGTTGCCATGGTGTTGCTAGGGTATTATGAGCGGTTGCTAGGGTGTTCTACATGGTTACTAAAGTGTTCTGGGTGGTTGCCAGGGTGTTTCTAGGGTATTATGAGTGGTTGCTAGGGTGTTATACATGGTTACTAAAGTGTTCTGGGGGGTTGCCAGTGTAGGGTATTGAGGGTGTTGCCAGGGAGTTCCCGTGATGTTCTGGGTGGTTGCTAGGGTGTTGTGAGTGGTTGCAAAAGTGTTTTATGTGGTAACTAAAGTGTCCTGGGTGGTTGCCAGGGCATTGTTAGAGTATTATTGTTGGTTGCCAGGGGGTTGCTAGGTTATTTTATGTGGTTACCAAAGTGTTCTGGGTTCTTGCCATGGCATTTCTAGGGTATTATGAGTGGTTGCTAGGATGTTCTATGTGGTTCCAAGGGTATTCTAGGTGGTTGCCAGGGCATTGCTAGGGTATTATGGGATGTTGTGGGTGAAGTGAATGTTTGTTAGGGTGTTGCATTGTTACTTAGTGTTAATGGTGGTTGCTAGGGTATTATTATGGGATGATGCCTTTCTTTAGAACAGATATTAAAATAGAACAGAATTGAGCTGAATGTCTGACCCAGTGGTCTCAATAAAGCAAATAAAGCAGTGCTGATCCAGACACAGTGAATGTGTGTGTGTGTGTGTGTGTGTGTGTGTGCTGGAGTCTCTCCCAGCAGGCAGCTGATCATGTTCCTCACGTCTCTGTGGGCGGATTCAGTCGGGATCGGCTGTGTAAAGGCTGAATAGCAGCATTACAGTCTCATAGAGCCGAGACGCAGAGCTGGACTTCAGCAGGTGAGCAAATAACACTGGTATTGATCAGATGTTTCATGTGCTCTGGTGATCAGCTGACCCATGTTCTCCAAACAGATCCGATCATCATGGAGACGCTGAGGGAGCTGGTCCCCTTCATCAGAGAGGTGTTGAGCCAGAAGCCGAGCCGCGGTCTGCTGAAGGTCTATCTGGTGGGCTCGCTCCTGGCTGTCCTGGGCTCAGTTTTAGGGCTGCTGGAGCTGGTGTTTCAGCCCTTCAGCTCTGAAGACCTGGAGATCAGCTCTCTGATGACCCGACAGGACAAACACAAACTCTCTGAAACCACGCTCAGAAGCTCTGCTAACCGGATGCATGCCTTCTAAACTCACCCCAGACCATCCCGCAGGAGGGATGATGTTTATATCGCACCAAAGACCAGGTCTGAGGTGGTCTGAGTGAGGTTTCAGCATGTTTACACGTCACTGTGAGCTCTGTGAGAGGCAAGGAGCATGTGATACAGACTGTGTATAAACGCTGCTTCAGTGTTTTGTATTTAGAGATGCACAGTGACTTACTGTTTTATGACTTTGAGAAAAAGTCATTTTCAGATCCAAGTGTTTACATTATGTTTTATGAACTTGATATTTATTTTCAAAGCAATAAAGGACTCAGAACATAAACA